CAGGTCAGGAAATACCCTTGGGCCTTCTTGGTGTTCCCACCATATTGTGTTTACACTCCCATCCAAACCTTCACTGTTTTGTCAGTAACCTTACACATCCACTATACTATCATCAGTTTAACTTATTTTGAAATTGACTTTTGGGATTTAAGACTCTTCGACAAACTTTTCTCGATAACCATTCCAATCGTGAGACAAATATATAATGAAGAGCATATATACTATCATTAGAAGATAAAGCTACTCTGTTTTCAATGTTGCGGTCTTTATTGTTGATTTAAGACCGCTATATGTAATTTAAAAACCGAACGCGTTAGCGGTCTTACTTCAACAATAAAGGACCACAACATTGAAAACAGAGTCGCTTTATCTTCATTCTAGCATGACTGATAAGCATTTTAAAACTGAACTGTTTGGCGTGCAAGAACACAAGGTGTCAAGGGACCTTTATTCTGGAAATTGCATGGAATCGTCCCGATGAGGGACAGTTTGTGTAATGAACAAAATAATACATTTTCAACAACACAAATGCTTTATTTCAAGAACCAGTACATTGTATGCTTGTATTTGTAACAAGTAGCATTATACATAAATAAAAAATATACAGTTTATACTGTGAGCAAGTACAATTATTAGATTTTTCTCAAGCGAATTATTGATCTCACCCTACTGTATGACAATCGACTCGCCCCAATCCAAGCTGTGCTCTCGCTAAGTTTAGTCGCTGCTAACTTTATTCACGGAAATAATTATTGATAACTACCCTACTATGACATGACATGACATGACATGCAACGTTTTATGTGGGATACATGGACAGTGGAAGTGGAAGGACTGGGCATTACAGCCGGGACGGTTTGAATACTGCCGCTTTTGCGCTGCTGACGAATTTTCCAGCTTTGTAGTTTGTTCACTGGGATTACTGACAAGAAATTCTTCTTCAAACCATTTGCTTTTTACTTCAAAAATATCAAAGATGCTGCCGAGGTAGAAATCGCAGATGTCCGACATGTTTGTTTACAAACAAAAGGGTCAACGAGTTCATTGTATTCGTACACAGTGAATCGGTCACTTTAATTAGCGGTCTTAAACTGCCATTTAAGTACGGTTTTGATGAGCTCTCAGCCAATCAGAATTGAGTATCACACAATGTCGTGCTAGAATGATGAGTTAAGATTAGTTGCGTGAATTGTTTCCGATGATTGTTTGCCTTTATTGGAGTTCAAATGGTTTCTGCCCTTGTCTCTAGAGGTGAGTGAGTTGAGGAGACAAATCTGACATTTGATCAACTTGCAGAATATGTTGTGTATATTAACATACAAACTGTATCTCATCACATCACATTTTCACTGCATCTCCTCATATAACATCTGTAAAGATTAAATGATATGACTATCTCCATGCTAACTTGATTACATTTAACAAAATGAGAAGTTGAATTCATGTGAATATCTCATCAATTTCATCCCAAGTGAAGCCTCAGACAAAAGCAATGATAACCTAAGAAATAGATCTAATTTACAAATGAACAAATGCAGAACCCAGTCCTATGCCAAATCATTTCTCCTGAATACGATCAACCCCTGGAAAATATACCTGGCAAAGTAACTAATGCTGGCTCATTGAAAGCATTTAAATACCTAATGAAATGTTCTGATATAATTATAAATAAGACAGAAAATATGGTTAAGATTCTCCAAATTGTTAATTGTTAATCCTTAGGGTCAGCTGCAGTGACTTAAATGTTGATAAGTTTAGGCTCTGATTATATCCGACACCGAGACTGCTCACTTGCAGATATCACTTGGTCAGGATGTAACTCATTTTTATTTTAACTAAAATATGACTGAGAGACTATGTATTTTACATACATGAGTTTGATCTAAAAATGATATTGTATTGCAATAGTCATTTGTTCTACAAACACGTATATCCTTCAGTCAGTTCACAACTTCATTGTCAAAAGCAAAAGATTTGAGCTGTCTAGTTTTATGCCTACAAAATGGAAAATTGCATTATTTTATTTCATAGACACCAATGAGTTCAATATATTGATTACTATATTTCATCTGTGCATGCTGTACATATGTTCTGCACAATCCTGTTTATAGAACCAGCTGTGGTCAACTCACAAAAAGAGAGGTATTTACGTAAGCAAGTTCAGTCTGTTTACTGATCCAGATTTCTTCAGAAATAAAAATGTGTTTAAACATGTTTTTTTCAAAAGTTCTGTGCATGAATTGATACAGAATAAACAGATGAATCAATACAGGTTTGTGTTTATCATGAATCATACAGTTTGAGAATATTATCAATGTATTAGTGAACTGTGAAATACCAAGAATTCCCCATGAGTAATTACAATCAAACACAAATGAATGAGACTAGGCTTGGGAATCTCATAAACTCACTTGGTCAGTTTAAGAAACTGGTACTTGTCATTTCGCCACAACAAAAATGATAAAAGCGCTAATATGGAGGAAAAGAATTTCTACACATCATCAAGGACAATGATTTTGTTTTTGTTGTTGCTAATAATGCTAAATATTCATACAATTATTTTGGGGTGTAACTTATCAGTAATTTTAACAGTGATAAATTGACTTTAAAAGTATCACAATATCGCAATTAAGGATACATTAATTAATCTGTGTGTGTATACACAGATCTACCTGTAATTAATCAATGTAGGGACCATTCATAATTTATGGCTAAGGGGGGTGGGGTGATGATAATTTTTATGGAGAAGCATGTACAACGTGAATGAGCCCCTCTAAACACCTGGCTGTCCCTTTCTTTGCACTCCTCCCTCGTAACAAACAGTGAACTGTGTAAATATTTTAATGATAGTTTGTTAAACAACTTTTTTACTTTTAAGGCATAAATTCTGCAAAAATATCACAGAGTTGGTCTGATGTTTTGATTATGCTCACTGTTTCATTGAGTATTATATGTTTATTAGTTTTCGAGTTAGATTGCAATTCATCGGCCCGCTTTTGAGGCAAACGGACTATAGTTGCCTCTTACGTTGTATTGATGGAGCATCAGCATAAAACATTTACCAGAACATTGATAGCCCAATATTTCATGACATCCCTAAACTCAGTCTTACAGTTTAAGCCTGAATGTCAAGCAGGCATTACTATAAATATAGATTTAGCACCATCTTGTCAGCAGGAAAGTATTAAGGACCTGTGACATTTATTTTCAAATAGTGTTAAGCATGGATAAGAGCTTTTCACACATTTTTTTCATACATTTTCTATCACTACACACGTATTGTATAAAAATACCTCCAAATAAACACATCTTTGCATTGGCTTGTCTCAGTTTGGCATAGGTTTAACCTTGAACACCTCTAAGATACTGCTACAGTGAGTGAGTGAGTGAGTTTAGTTTTACGCCGCACTCAGCAATATTCCAGCTATATGGCAGCGGAATGTAAATAATCGAGTCTGGACCAGACAATCCAGTGATAAACAGCGTGAGCATCGATCTGCGCAATTGGGAACCGATGACATGTGTCAACCAAGTCAGCGAGCCTGACCACCCGATCCTGTTAGTCGCCTTTTATGACAAGCATGGGATACTGAAGGCCAATATTCTAACCCGGACCTTCACAGTCTATATGGAAAGATATAAATATTGTGTGAATCCTCCCTAGTCAGCATCAAGTGGTGCTACGTCCTGATGTGAGATTGTCCTAGTTGATTGGTTCTCGCCATCACAGTTGGTCCCAGATATATTTAGGTTGGAAAACAACACAGGATTAGCATAGGTTTTCTTTGCCAGACTAAAGTTTGTATGACAGCTTACGAGGATCAGGTGTTGGACCCCTGGTGATGTAATCTGGGCACGACCTAAACTACTTACTTCCTCTGCAGGTGACTGGGCATTCACCTGTCTCACAGTCCTTGAACAAGCTTCCCTATCTCCCAGCCCTTGCTCCAACTCTACTAGCCTTACATGAAGCAAGTCTACATTTTCCTTGGGCACTCTTCCCTTTCTCCCAGCCCTTGCTCCAACTCTACTAGCCTTACATGAAGCAAGTCTACATTTTCCTTGGGCACTCTTCCCTATCTCCCAGCCCTTGCTCCAACTCTACAAGCCTTACATGAAGCAAGTCTACATTTTCCTTGGGCACTCTTCCCTATCTCCCAGCCCTTGCTCCAACTCTACTAGCCTTACATGAAGCAAGTCTACATTTTCCTTGGGCACTCTTCCCTTTCTCCCAGCCCTTGCTCCAACCTTACATGAAGCAAGTCTACATTTTCCTTGGGCACTCTTCCCTGTCTGAGCCTTACATACATGAAGCAAGTCTACATTTTCCTTGGGCACTCTTCCCTATCTCCCAGCCCTTGCTCCAACTACACTAGCCTTACATGAAGCAAGTCTACATTTTCCTTGGGCACTCTTCCCTGTCTCCCTACATTTTCCTTGGGCACTCTTGGGCACCTGTCTCCCAGCCCTTGTTCCAACTCTACTAGCCTTACATGAAGCAAGTCTACATTTTCCTTGGGCACTCTTCCCTTTCTCCCAGCTCTTGCTCCAACTACAATCTCCCAGAGCCTTACATGAAGCAAGTCTACATTTTCCTTGGGCACTCTTCCCTATCTCCCAGCCCTTGCTCCAACTCTACTAGCCTTACATGAAGCAAGTCTACATTTTCCTTGGGCACTCTTCCCTGTCTCCCAGCCCTTGCTCCAACTCTACGAGCCTTACATGAAGCAAGTCTACATTTTCCTTGGGCACTCTTCCCTTTCTCCCAGCCCTTGCTCCAACTCTACGAGCCTTACATGAAGCAAGTCTACATTTTCCTTGGGCACTCTACGTGCAAGTCTGCTAACATCGGTGACAGAAAGTACAATGTGGAGGGGTGGGGACAACAGGGACTATAGACTACAGTATATGGTTGGAGGGAGGCTGTGGGGAGAGAAAAACAGTCTTTATGAAACCTACTGATACATTACATACAACCTACAGTTGACTTTCAGTCCTACCTTTGTGCCTTCCACGCTGATGATTCTGTAGGTGTCTCTGGCAGAGTCATAGTAGTATGCAATGCTAACGGCCGTCTTACTAGCAGGAATCCAATTCTTTTTAGTTTCGGGGTCGATTTGGAACACATGTGCCTTTGTTGCAAATATAGGCTGTTCCCTGAAACAAGATGGCATCAACATTAAAGGAGGCGACAGACAACGTGACAGCTCTATTCTATCAAGAAGAATTTTTTTAATACATTTGCTTTTTCATGAAATGTGCCAAGTTACTAATGTTACATTATGTAGAAATAATTCATGGCTTGCTTGTGATACAAGATTGTGTATCATCAAAAACATTTCTACTCTCTTCCCGTTCGATATCATTTCCATTACCACTAACTTGTTTCTGAAATATGAAGGTATGTTATGCCCTGTATTGAAAACAATATTTAACAGATGCTAAGGTAGGTCTCTAACAGAGACAGTATACTGACTTCCTTTCTACATCTCCAATCTCAGTAGCAACCACTGATGACACCATATACATGTAAAACATCTGAATTCCATAAAGGCCTGTTAGCTAGTTTCTTTTTATTACAAACTGAAAGGAAAATTAACCACTTGATGCTTTAAAAATATTTTCATTTCAAAATCTAAATGTTAGTTTATCACTGGCACTATTGCACATATTGTTAAAACTCCTTTATCATTGCAAACATTAATCAAGATTAAACTCAATGACTGCCATCAATATAATATTTGCACTTCAATTGATAGCTGTCTAGTCACAAAGCAAAAGACATAAATACTGACATTAATCACATGAAAAAAGTATGTAAAAATTAGAACTGAAAATGTAAGCAGCAAGATAGAAATGATCGTGTGTATTTTCATTCATAACCTCAATGAAAATACCAAATATGCATAATAATGTTGACGTAAGTATGACATCTAAATCTTGAAGCGATTTTCTCAGCTACATGAGTCCGCAAGATTTTTGGAAGGAAACTTCCGTTGTTTCAAGCAACGTGTATGCATAAATGTGACATGTAAGTAGTCTGAAATATTCTGGTGATCTGCTGGTTGTTCTTTTCTTTTTGTTTCCATTGTGATCAAGGGAAATAGTCAGAAATGAGGAAAATACATACCGTCATCGTTGTGCGTGAGTTTGTGTCTGTCATGGTGTCACGCTTTCAGAAGCTATATATTGTGTTGAATCTATTGTGTTGAACTCTTGCTACGATACTTTTCCCATGCATGTTCTAAAACTTACGAGCAAGGGTATGCAACGAGTAGGCAAATGGATACACAGTCTAAAATCTGTTTAAATTTCATACAAGTGGTCCTTTCCCAGCTCAGCATCTGATATATTTCGTTAGATTTCACTGAGACACTTGGTATTGGAATTTGGTGACCAAGACCACTTGTCAATTCGTTTTGAACTCATGTATGAGGAATTCAGGGAATCATGTAAAGAAGATGGTTTTGAATTATAGTATTGATGTTATGGGCGAAACATAACTGACATACGTGTGACATGATTTTATAAACGCTCTCCAATATGGCTGAAAGTTCACTTTGAAGTTGTGTTTGCGTATTTTCATTCTCAGCGATTCTCTCTTCCTCAACAATGTTTCAGAACGAGCATTGGTGATTCAATCAAACAACAACAAATATACCGGTGATCACAATGGTACGGGTTGTTTTATAAAAAAAATCAATTTTCTCAATAAATTTGACATATAAATCAAGACACACTATAAATTACGCAAAACGCAATGAATGGTGATTTAGTAATATGTCAAAATTGGCAAGATTTATGATGCATGTAATTTTCAGTAAATCTGCCTTGCAATAAATAAATGATATTGTAGAAAAACTAATTTCAAACGGAATTCAAAACTGCATTTATCTTCAAATTGTATTTGGATATGGCTTCGAAATCAAAGTGAAGGTTGAAGAGGAGGGACATATATGGTGTGATTTATGTAGGAAATACGTAGCAAATGTAGAATGCCGGCACATTCACCGATGGCTAGCTAGATGTAGTGCATATACATTTTAGTTTTGGTGAAAGAAGATTATACTGTTGGAAAGACGACCGATGCAGGTTGAATGCACTTTGCTTTTTGTAGAATATACATGTTTTTTAATACTGCAATGTCATCACACTGAAGAACTGACCACACAGCCAGCTGACAGCCAGGCGAAAGGTGGATTAAGACATCGAGACACAAGAACCACATAAATTAAATCTTAACATAAATATATATTTTTATTGTCCATACTGAATCATGCTGAAAGATAACAAGAAGACAAAGTCATCAATATCCCCCGCAACGGCAAAATACTCTTTATGAATATGTCTACTTGTTATGATTATGTGAAATGTTTTGGAGTGTATATAGCAAAGTGGAAGGAGAGTATTGAAAGTTTTTTAAGATCTGCTCCAGAAAGGAGCACTACCACCAAATTCAGCAAAGCCTAACTTGTTGCCATGGAAATGCAACAAGATGACATCCTCATAGTCAGAGCCTAAGTCATGTTTCCATGGAAACAGCAAAAAATATAATTCATATCTGGGTCTAACCCCAAAAGGCACATCTAGATCATGGTTGACATGTGTACCAAGTTTGGTTAAGCTATCACGAATAGTTTAGGAGATATGCTTCGGACAAAGTGTGATGGACGCACGGATGGAACTCGATTCTATATCCCCCACAACTTCATTGTTGCGGGGGATGAAAACAAGAAACAGGACTGGCCTGGCCCTATCTGAGATAGCACAGCATTTTGAACATCCACTCACATCACCAACCCATCTGTAATTCCTTTAAATACAAAATCAGGTGAATGTTAGCTGAAGACTGGTCATTGCATTCATAATGAAACCCTCCACTAGTTTGTTTATAGTGCAGTAGACAGTCATGTTTATGCCATAAATATTAGTTGGCAGTTGTATGCAGAAAAGCATCTTTCCAGAAAGGAGGCACTATGATGTGTACATTCTGTTTAAGGATGAACTTTTAACAGCTCATGATCACATAGGAACATGCTCTCATGGCTGACCTTTCGACTCATAAACAAAATAAAACAACCCTCCAGTATCTGTGCCTGTGCATATTGGGTGGACATCAGTTTATCATATATTTGAATGAGACTTTGTTTTAAGTTGGACATGGTCCCCAAAGTCATGATACTTTTTGCACACGGCACTCGTCCTCGTCCTTGGAGCATCCCCACATGACTTTGAGGACAATATCCTACATATCACATAGTAAACATTGGAAAGCATTCTATCTAAAAATTATGTAAAAAGGAAATGCTTTTCAAACACATACCTGGGTCTCTTCATGCTGAACAGTTTAACCGAACACAATCACCTACACATCCCTATCTGTCTGTAAAGATCCTATGTCCAGACCTGACAAGTAACCTTCAACACACTCAGTCCAGCAATCCAGGTGCATGGGGAATGTCCACCCTTAAACCCCAACCGTGACCCCTCTTTCCGCCCCTCCCGCCAGGAATGTAGACAGGTACAAGTGACCACAGGGTCGCGGGTGAGTGGTCACTGATCAAACTTCCACAGGGCCACACAAGACCTCTTGTTTAATCAAGACTTGTACATGAAATTGAGTAGGCAGCTTAAGGATTAGGAGTTATAATCAATGTATATTTGTTGGCTTTAGGCTACATTTTCTGTGTTCTGACTAGGTGCAGTAGTCACACAGTTGGAGTAATTGCTTGACAGGCATGGGGGCATCAGAACAGATTATGACTCCTTACTAAACTGAATGTCAAGAATTAGAAGTCCTTTACTGACAAGTCTAACGAATAAAGTGACTTAATGTCTTTGTTCAGTGACATGTAAATAGTATTTCATATTGTTAAGTTCTGACCTTGTCATAAAGTATTACTTACAATTAAGAAATAAGTAATAGAGTTAGGACATAAGTTTAGGCTAAAGAAGAGAGAGAAAAATATATATATACACAGTAAGTGTGTCCTGTTTAAATACAGCAGGTCCAAGGTGGCCTCCATCGGGCGCCACAGGCAGCCAGTGTCAACTGAAGTAGGTAGACTGTTCTATTTCTTCATTTCAGATTATTTTGTCATGAATTCAGGTCAGTGTTTGGCCATGAACTTGGATAAATTAGAAATGTGAGATCTTTTTCCTCTTTTGTAGACATACCTGAATGTGTTACCTTGACTACAGTTGGACTGTTGGATTTGCAGTCAAACATTGTGTCTGCTTATTGTTGAACATTACAGCTGAAACTAGGGCTGCAACGAATACACTATGTGGCGAATATGATACGTATCATGAATATTGGGTAACGAATACGAATAATTATTCACGAATACAATATTGTAGTTAAGTGATTGATGTACAATATGGAACGTCCATGTTCACAGTTTTGATTTGTCACACCAATAACCAGTGATCTCATGACACTCAAATTTGGCATGTAATAGTTATAGTCGACAGTACCATATGCGGCCTTCGCAAACTAACATGACTTGAGCTACTGCAATGCTAGTACATATTCCATCCTTGCATATATCACTTTCCAAAAAGTACACAAGGGTTCAAGTAAAACATGCTCCCTTAAAAAAAGTAAATATCTTAATATTCGGTTCTGGTGTGCAAATCTAATTGAATTCATGAAATATCGATTCACGAATATGCGAGTGAATTATGCTAGCTGATCTATAACATATATAACAGAAAAGTGATGATCCACTGGAATAAGGACCTTGGGCAGCTAATGAAATTAAAATGGTTATTCAGCTGGATACATACCCCAAGAGATCTTAATCCCTGGTGCAAATCATTGATGAAATATGGAAATTATGCTTGTCTAAGTGTTGAGATTGATCCATGGAACAAGACCTTGGGCATAATGAAATTAAAATGTATTCAGCTGGATAATCACAACGTCCCTTTTCAGAAGAAACTATGTCCGTATTTCATCCAATTCAGGTTTTAGTTAATTTGCAGTAAACTAACCAAACCACTGATTCTTCACAGGCCACTGATGAGTAATTGCTAAAGTAACATCAACTTAAAACATTCCCACTATTGTTTATGTGAGTAAAATAGGGCAAAGGAAATACCTTATCAATAACACCCACATTTCTAAGTGTTGAGTTACACACTTGACATACCTG